CGTAATTCAGCCGAAACCACTTTTGTATGAGCGACTTTATAGTAGTAGAAAAATGAAGCAAATGCTCACAGCCGGCAGCTTACGAAGCGCCATAGGGCGATTTCCGCGTTCCCTGTAAAAAGAGACAATTCGACTGAGGCCATCGTCCTCTGGTTCATTTCCACCGGTGTAAAACCTTGTCAGCACAAACACGTACGAGCTGCCCCTGACTTTGAACGAAGGACCTTGAATGCTCTAGAAGAAAATTTTAAGGAAAAAATTTAGAAAAATTTTGCCTCTGGCGCACTCGTTTCTTCATTAGTCCGCTCTTGATAAAGCATTGGGTATGGTAGAAGATAGTCTTAGGATGAAGTTTGAACACAGTGTGAAGCGCGTTTTTGGCAATCGGAGATATTCCCTCGTATCGACTTCTATAAACGATATAGAAAGACTAAGTCACTCTCGGGCTCATGAAAATAAAATAAAAATAGTCAAAATACTGAAAACTGTACGAAAAATCATGCAACCAAATCAATGGAAGAGTATTTCTAATGTTCCGTTTAATTTTGATTTCACTTTAAAACAAGGATTAAGATTCGAAAGCATCAACAATGGAAAGTGAACAGCTGCGATTGACAGCGAATAAAGTCACATTAGACAAGTTTACTACGCAATAGCTTCTATTCAATAAACAATGATACTAGATTAGCAGTATTTCCTTGTTACTACTCGCAGAGGGAAACCATTTAAGCAGAACACAGCTCTACAATATTTAAGCCCCTGCAATGTTATGCATCTCGCATTATCTGAAACATCTTTCGTCATGAGTGCAACGTGTATCTAGCAAACAAATGATGTAGAATGCATATGGAACTGCAGGCGCTCAAATATCGTGGAGTCATAGCATGTCTAAATGTGCCACTCACAGGCAACTAAAAGCAAGGGGGCAGTGCAATATGCAGTGAAGGCTGGTCTGGGAGGTCATTCATTATTAGGGTATGCATTATAATTTACCTATGAATAATTATACATTGTAGATACCACACACTTGTCGTTTTAAAATAAAATCTTCCATCAATGCTCTGAAAAATTGGAACTATTCAAGGAAGGCTATATTGTAAGGCCATGTATTACAAAAAAAACTTTATTCTAAACTGCAACTGTTATCGTAGTGGTGTTAAGAAAGAACATGTTAATTTGAAACCAGTCTGTGTTGAAGGATACATAATCTACATATGACAAAAAAGCTAGTGTACACTTCACTGGTAAAAGGTATATATATATATATATATATATATATATATATG